TACTAGCAGTTGAGCGATTGCTTGTTGGGTTCAAGATTGACTGACTGAGCCGATTGGTGAGCGTCTACTCTCTATTTTATGAACTGAACTATAAGTACTGGTCGAATGACAGTGTTAGAATCGCAAACCAACCCCCCCGCGCCACTTCTCCTTACTCATTCGGTGCTTACCTCCCATCACACACATTTCCGTCCACCAGTGGATCAGCTGCCGGTGATCAAGGCCGACTGCCTGCGTTACACCATCACCTTCCGCGGTCTCCTGCCCTCCGCCACCATACCCGTCCTGGTGAATCTAGTGCCAAACTTCCTAGCCGCGGCCTCGCCCGTGGTGCACAACTACGCCGCTGTGCTGCTGGAGAAGCTGCTTCTCATGACTCTGCCTGACCAACCCGTTCTGACACCGCTGTGAGTCAAAACCCCGTTTCTTCTTTTTCTTTTGCGAGTAAACCTGCGTACAGCCACTAAAAACGGTGTCATTTGCTCCTTAGTTTGGACTACGAGGACTGGGATACTACCGTTAGAAGTAATATCCCAATGCTGGGAATGCTAATTCTGGTGAGCATACTTACTAACGTACAGTAAGCCAATAGTATAGCCTAATACAGTTCTCCAGGAATGGTGCAATATTAGTGATACTAGTGATAATAATTCCTATAGTCCGGAGGGAACTGTTATCGTTTAAATCGAACGAGCACATAAATATGCTCGTGGGAAATCGGCAGTCTCAAGCTATATAAGGGCAAAATAATAAACTTATGGGTTACCGAAACGTTGCTAAATAATAGCCATTTGCTTGATGGGATCGCTACTCACCCATGACGCTCTGTGAAATGTCTTAAAGCCATTACCAGCGTTGTCCGAACAGAAGCGGTTTGGCAACCAGAGATTCTGGTTAAGCGCAGCTCCGTATTCTGCGTTTTTTAAAGGCATAGTAAACAAAATGTCTGCTGAGCCACTGAGTCATTCTTCAGCTGTTAGACAGCATTTACGTGTTCGCTCTGTTTTTTTCTCGATTTCAGTGTCTCCAAGATGGACATATCTGCCCCGGAGCTGTTGATTCAACGCCTGTTAGAGACTCTGTCGCGTCAGTGTTCGCTTGAGAGCGTCTACCTTATGCGGGGTATGTTATCTTTAATCGCAATAAAGGTTTTCCGTCTGTGTGCAACCTCCTATATATGCTTATACGTACTTTTTTAGCGCTTCAGTACTGTCTCTAGTCTTTCATCTATAGAGAGTCTGCTCTTATATAGAAACACCGCCTGTCATGAAGCTCCTGGCTTCCATAGTGTTCGTGTCCTCAGAAGTCCTGTTGGCTTTCTTGTTATGGAACACGGTGTCTTATTGCCGGTGTACGTACCTTCTCCGTCGCCTGCCTCATGAGTTAAGTGATACTGCCCTCGATCCGGCGCTTCTGCCCACCTGGAGGCCTCGAAGAGGAGGGCAACTCAATACCTGGCTCTACACAGTTTGACAAGATACCGGAGCGGTTATTGTACTTTCGGCCTCCGTCGCCGGATAACACAATGGTCTGAACTTTCCAGATCCCATGACACATCGTCCCTCCGGGGGGATAAGTATGATCGGTGATATCATCGAAGCCGGCTAGATCAGATATGCTTACAACCGTATCAAGTACAGGTGCAGCACGACCATCGGACGATATGAGAAAGAAGATTAAAGCCGTAGTTTTTAATCACAACCAGCGTCTTCTCTCTCTCTCTCTGTCTATCCGCCTCTCACTACGCCCTACTCTTTTTACCCTGTCAGTTTCCGTCACTGGTCCTGAGGGGCGTGGTCACAATCAGGCGATAGTTAATCGTAGTGTCCTGTCTGCGTTTCACCCGAGGGGCCTGGGGGGCTGTAGTAGTCCAGGGGCAAAAAAGCGGTTTATAGAAAGCGAATTCGTCCCTATCATAACTCGGGTGACATTTGTTTTCTCCGTCGAGTCAGTCCTTCTCTACGGTTATAAACGCTGAACTTAGTATGTGTGGACGTTGAAGGTGAATGAAAAAAAAACTGTATCTAGTCACCGCTATTTGAAGACTATCCATCGCTAGGGCATCCCAAGCCAAACAAAGAAAGACGACTGTGAGACAGTTGGGGCACGTTGATCGTCGTCTGTCCCACAAGCTCAGTGTTGCTGCCCAGTTAAAGGTATCGAAGAAGAGAGCTTCCACCTGAAAGCCTTGCTCGGTACAATTCGTCAAGACATAGAAGTGGTGGTTGCTTGGACCTCAAGTCTCCGTCGCTGGGGAATTGCCCGGGTCCGCTACCGAGGATCATCACTTGTGAGGATGTGCAATCCGTTATGCGATGGAGGCCGACTACTACAAGTATTAACACCATTTATCTTCTCGAAAATAACTGTTCACAGATATTATCATTATGTGTGTGTTTTTGTGCTTACTTTTGGAGTTTATGCTTGTTTTTTTCTCTCCATTTCAGCCCTGCTTCGTGCATGCGCCTGTCTCGAGGAGCGTTGCCTGCCCTCGATGAACGCTCTGGTCCCACATCTCGTAAACCGACTGAGTCAAGTTGTGAAGGTACTTTCCCTTGTTTGTCCTAAACCAAGAGTTACCCTTATCGGTCATCGAGCCTAGGAGGGGTTCTTAACTGTAGACTTGTTGATGTTTCGCCCTGCCAGTTAAAACTAATTTAGACGCATTTGTGGTGGTGGAGGAGATTCCTTCTCTACGAGAGCAGATGTAAACCCGAGTCTGTAGACTGTTGAGCGGCTGAAACCTCCTGTCGTGGTTGCTACTCACGTACTCCTCTTTTTATTCAGTTTCTCAGGGGCAATCGATTTACTCTAACCAAGAAAACGTTTAATGTGCACATAGGCCGGTGAGAATAGACGCGATCACCAACATCTGTCGTGTGCGCGTTGAAACTGCGACAAACTCGCATAGTCTCCGCCGCATTCCCTTTACTTCATCTGCTTTACTTTTATGGAGAAACAGTCGGAAGTTGGCGTGAGCGCGTGATTGACAAGGCTGAACAACCCCCCTACGCGTGCCACACACAACCTGCTCCCAGTGCAAGTACCAGAACCGTTTGGATCTCGCCTACCATAAGTCGAGGCATTTGGCACTCTTACACATGTACTTACTCGTTGCGTTTGCGATCATGACTGACCTAGCCGGCCTCGATGATGTCCCGTAGGGTGCTTCTCCACGCGCGAGGATCCGTGGCAGCAGATCTGGACAGTTCGAGCCATTCTCTTTGCCAGCGCCGGAGACCGAATACCGAAAGTCCAAGAACCACTTCCATGTACTGCGGGACCGAATCGAACCAGGTTTTGAGCTGACCCCCACATCGACGTCTCCAATTGGGTAACGGTTTCATCTCGAGGGTAGTAACGCTGAGCTTGTGAGGTTGAGGACGAAGAACGTTTCCAAACCACCTCAGTCATCTTCCTTGGATTGCCTGGGATACCCATGCGATGTTGTCGCAACGAGTGCGGACAGTCTCGTTTGAGACGAAGTCGGTGTACTTCACTCGAAGGATGGTCCTAAAGCAGTATTAGTCAGAGACTCCCAGTTTCCGTTCATCTTGCACGTGGACGCCGGCTGTCTGATTTCGACTAGGCCCAGGATATTGCGCTGCCAGCCTCAAGCTTTGGTGGTCTACAGTCTAGTTCCGCGGACGACAGAGGCCGTTATGTCGGTTGGCATGTCCATAAATGTCGAGCTGCATCCCTCATCAAGAGAGAGCGCCCCTGGGGATTAGTGGCCGTCAACTTAAAGAAGTAGACTGCTTTAAATACGTCGGGGCGAGACTGCTACCGAATGGACAGAGCAAGGTCTCCCGCATCGATGCTGCTCGCTGGGTTTTCTCAATTCTTCGAAAGCGCCTAT